TACAAACAAGCCATCAATAGGTATGTTAATGTTTCAGCATTATCGTACATGTATACACGATTATTACAACTGTAAAATTTGCTGTATAGTAACTATAACTTACCATGTAATTGGTCTTAGGAACTGTAGAAAAGTGGCTTAGTGAAGGTAGTATTGAGCTAACTGTTACTCGTGTTAACTTGCATGGACCTCCTGGAGCTGGTAAAACCTGTGCTCAAGATCTTCTGCTAAATAACCCACCTACCACCCACACCACTGACAGTACACCAATTGCTCGTCCAGCTGTCAAAGCTACAAGAGTATCTGTCGATGATGAAGCTATGAAATGGGAGAAAGTTGATAGAGATGGTTTACTTGAAAGACTAGCTTCTGATTTAAAGAAAGCTGCTGCTTCTCAGCCTATTGAAGAAATTTCAGCCTCTCAGCCTAAAGATAACATTTCGTCATCTTTTTCAATGGACAAACGGCAAACTGCAGAGCGATGTGATGAATCTACTGAACAAGATGAGTCTGATGCCAAAACAGATGAATCTACTGTTGCTTCAAATGAAAGTTTCTCAATTGGTGAAGGTGTGATTCAGGAAATTGTTGGCACAATCCAAAGCTCAGAGGTTCAGTTAAATTTAAGTGATCATTGGTTGTACATTATTGATTCTGGAGGTCAGCCAGCATACCAGGAGCTGTTACCATTGTTTGTTAGAACAGCTTCTCTCAATATCATCACTCTTAACCTCTCTAAACCTCTTGATGAAAAGCTTGATTTCCAATACAGGATTGGAGGGAAAATATTTTCTTGCGGTTTAAACTTAAAGTATTCTAATCGAGAATTCTTTTTATCAGCAGTTTCGTCAGGAGCCATTTTGAAACCGATTGATGTCCCTCATGCCCTTGAAACACCTTCACATCCAATGAATTTTGTACTTGGTACACATTATGATCTCATTAAAGAAGACGTGCACTTGCTTAGGAAAATCAATGACGAGTTGAGGTCTTTATTGGATCCTGGGATGAAAGATTTTGTTGTTTTAGATGGAGAGTTTATGATATTTCCTATTAATACACTAGTCCCTGAAGATGAAGGAAGAATGAAAGCAGGACAGGATTTATGTCAATCAATATCAAATTGTGGTGGCACTTCTCTTAAAATAAATGTGCCAATTCGTTGGTTTGCATTTGAGCTTTGGCTACAAAAAATAGCAGAAGGCAATAGCCGCAGTTTTCTCATAATAGATGAAGCCATATCTGCTGGTGCCAGGTTAAAAATGAGTGAGGATGATACTAAGCATGCCTTAAAGTATCTCCACAATGTCACTATTATCCTGTATTATCCTGATATCCTGCCACAGTTAGTTTTTGTTGATCCTAAGCCTATTCTTGAGGTTCTATCACGCCTGCTAGCTCTCTCTTATGTTCAAAGGAAAGCACTTCACCTAATTGCCAAACCTGTACCTCTGCAAAAAGATCTAAACAGGCTTCACGATTTTGGTTTGTTTAAAGAGGAGCTCCTAATGAATCACTTTAAGTCACTTTTTTCTCCACCTCACTTTGAGCCGTCTCATTTACTTAAGCTCCTAATTCATCTTCATATCATTACCAAAAGAGAAAAAGGAGATTATTTCTTTCCTTGTGCTTTGCAGTCTTACACTAAACCACCTGAACCCCAAACAGAAACTAAGGCCCTCCTTATAGTCTGGCTAAAGAAACTTGAGGAAGATGATATCAGAATTCTAAGACTTCCAGTTCCACAAGGAATGTTTCCTTTGCTCATTACTCACCTTCTTAACCACAAAGAGGACTCCTGCATAGTAGGTTTCCCTCCGTTAGATGATCCAAAGTACAGGTACTGCAATGATCAAAAGCACATGTGCTACAAGTATTGTGATGCACTGTCTCTGTGGATCAACATTCAAGAAATGCGTTACACACTTCACATAATCAATCGCTACTCACACATTGAGGTTTATTTTGTTGGATCGGTTCAGAAAGCAAAAGAAAACTGTCCTTACATTTGTGAGCTAGTCATGAAGGCTGTCAGTGACAGTGCTGATGCCATCAATGTGGAACACAATCATTTCGCTGCATTCTCTTGTCCCAATGATAAGAGTTGTTACTGTGTTGTAATAAACGATAAAGAATTCAAAACTAAGTGTATGCTTTGTACATGTTTAACTAATATAAGTGATGATAGCTACTGGTGCTGGTTTGACTGTATTTCTAAAGCTGTCCTGACCTCTGGTAAGTCATGGAACTATAACTCTACATAAAAATTGTGGCTACATATATTTTTGCCTGTAAATGCATAAGACCATTATTTTTATTTCATTATAGACTCGCAATGTTTAGAAGAACCTCAAGAAGAACTCAATATAACTGATTTGGATGAAATCCTAACTCATTTAAAGAAAGGCCATTATCCTAGTAGCAATTGGAAGGAGCTAGGACTCAAACTGGGACTATATGATAATACACTGAGTACTATAGAATCAAATTACTCTAAAGTAGAAGATCGCCTTAGAGAGTGTCTAGCTAAATGGTTGCAGAGAGCTGATGGTGTAGATGCTAAAGGAGGAGCAACCTGGACCACACTAATTAATGCTCTTGAACAATGTGACAGCGGCAAACCAACAGCTGAACCCATTAGTGAGTAACATATCAGATACGCATCAATATGGAACTGTTATAGTAACCTATTATGAAGTACCAGTGAATGTGTCATTGATGTATTATACTGTTGGCATAGTACTGTTGTATGTGTATCTCCACGTTGTGTATATGCATCTTTAACTATAACATCAATTACTTACTGTTGTTTAGGATGTGAGAAAATCAAAGGAAAAGCTGATCAATCCCAGACTGATGATGATGAACTGTGTAATATAAAGTCAACAACTGATTACAGCATCAGTAAGTAAAAATTAATGTCAATTTATTGTATAGATGTACTTGTCATGGTTTTATTAGTAACTGCACTTAATAGTGTGCTACTTTCATTAATTTCTGTTGTTTGTATAGGACATAGGAAAAGGCCTGTTGAAAAATCACAAACTGATGAAAAAGAATCACATATAGAGAATGAAACATCCCACCACAATAACAATAATAATAATAATAGTAATAATAACAATAATATTGTACAAGTAATGATAACACTAGTACTAGCAATAATAGTAGTAATGATGATAATAATAATGTATCACCAATAACAATCCAAGTATTGCTTTTTATAGTAATGAATAATGCATACATTTTCAACTTTATTAAAAAGTGCTATAACTGTTATCTTTTTACGACCTTGGGGCAAAGCCCCAAGGTAGCCCCAAGGTTGTTCCTAAGATTGAATTCAGCCCCCGTGATGTAAAATAATTGATTGTACTGCGCTTTGGATCATTGCATGCTCTGTAAGCCCCTCCCCTCCATACTACTACATACATGTATTATGCAGTTTACGGAGCACACAATTCTGATCCAAGTGGCGTGAAAAGCACGCGCAGTATGTCAACACTTGCCATTCTTCGGGCCAGCCTGAAATGCGGATCCACGCGGATCAAATGCGGATTGGGCTGAAATGTGGATCAACGCGGAACGCTCGCGGATCGGGTCCCTATAAAGCTCGGACCATTATGAGCTTATTAAGAATCACTAGAAGGTAGAAAGAACCTTTATAAGTCTTAGTAAGAAGAAATAAATACCGACTATGTGCGCAAGGTGGTGAAATCATAAGCCCTCCATACACTAGGCAACATGTTGCTAGCAACATTTGTGGTTTCTTTGATCTTTTGAGCAACTTGTTGCAAAAATAGAACTGATTTCTATTTTTAGCAACATGTTGCTTACAAGATCAAAGTAACCACAAATTTTGCTAACAGATTTTATAACTA